CCCCCGCCCGCCGGACACGCTCTGCCTCCTCCACACTCCCACCCTCCAGGCCGAGGCTCCGCCCCGCTTCAGTCGTAACCAATCACATGGCAGAACGTCCCCTTTTATTAGCATAGCCCGGCCCCCGGCGCACAGCTCCCGCCCCCCGCGTACTCAAGCACCAAGTCTAAGGCGATCGTGTAATTAGCCTAACCACGCCCAGTCAGAACACCGCCCACAGCATAGAGAGGAAGCGCCCCTTCCCGGCCTGTGCATTCCGTCTCTATGGTTTATCCTCCCGCGCGCACAGCTAGGCGCGCCCCTAGCCTGGAGCGCGAGGGGGCCAGTGTCTGCAAACCAATCCCTGCTAGGAAGAACCATAGAGGCGGGAGGCCAGGCACGTTGGGAGGAGAAGGAGCCAGAGGCCACTGGTCCCAAACAGGCTGTTACCTCCTCCTCTCCCCCCCCCCCGTGGGAAGGGTCATCTGGATGGTCCCAGCACAGCTCCTATCACACAGTCCCTGAATCCCCTGCATGGGCTGGGAGTTAGACTGAGGTTCTGTCTCTGCCACTGACTTCCTGTCTGACCTTGGGCAAGCCTCCTAACTGTGTAATGCAGCGCCTCTGGGGTCTGGTTTGTGTTCCATAACTGACCATGTCTATTAACTTCTGTGTTCCTCTATTTTCTAATGTGTACAATGGGGATAACAGTGTACCTCAGGCCCCCAGGGATTAATTCATTATTATTGTAAAAGGCTTTGAGATCCTTAGACCAGTGGTCTCCAACCTTTTTACACCCAAGATCACTTTTTAAGTCTCAGAATAGGCGATCTACTGCCCCGCCCCTTCCTTGAAGCCCCGTCTACATTACATGAGGAAATCTAATGTAAATGTACTGCGCAGGTGCACAGTTCAGAGAGGGCTCAAGAGCTACTCTTAGAGCCCCTGAGATCTACCGGTAGATCGTGATCTACTGGTTGGTGACCACAGCCTTAGACTGACAGTGCTATAGAAATGCAGAGTCCTACATTATTACTGCAATGCTGACATGCCGAAGGCACTCAGCCAGACAAATAGCCACACTCAACCAACCAAATAGTCACATGTGGCTAATAGCTAGCATGTTGGACACCGCAGGTGTAGAACATAAGACTTTTTCTTCAGTAACAAATATGACTTGGTTGTGATCTCTTTCCCAGGGACTTTAAGGATAGAATGTTCCATCTTCAAAGCAATATACCATGATTAATCAGTCCATATAATTATTTAAGGTCCTTATTTTAGTCCTGTTCCTATTGAAGTAAATGGCAAAACTCCACTGGCCTTTAGGATATTTTATTATTATTATTATTATTATGTATTTATTTACAAAACCAAACTCTAGGCACACCTGCCAGATTTACAGGGGGGACACATAATATTTGCAGATCCTCAAACCTCTCTCCTTCACATCTGATTTCTCTCAATGGCTCACTGCCACAGCAGCCCATATAAACACATGTGCCTTGCACCAGGCTTTGAAGGTCATCTACAGACCTGGGCTATTTTGGACCAGCTCTCTAAGGCCTGGTCTACACTAGGAAATACCTTAGTCCGAAATACGCCCCCAAGTTCAAATTTGTAAGTGGCATCCACATTACCTAGCCCGTTATTCTGGAATAAGGGGTTGTGGAATTCAAACTCTGTACTCCTGTGTTTCATGAGGAATAACACTAATTCTGAACTTGTAAGTCTGCAATAATGTTAGTGTGGACATTCCGGTGCCACTATTTCAAATTAATTGGCCTCCAGGAGGCCTTCTGCAGCTCCCCAGAGTGCTTCCTTAGGCTCTAAGTCTGAGGTAGCGCGTCCACATTAACAGAGCCTACCTTGGACTACATTTGATTCTTCCCCATCTTGAGGATACACAAGTTCGAATTTGTAAAATCGTGAGTCCAGAAGTTAAATTTAGTAAATTCGAAATAATCTTCTAGAGGACCCTGGTGTCAGTGTGGACAGCTGAGATTTGTTTTGCGCAAAAAAGCCCTGATCGTGAAAATGGCAATTGGGGCTTTTTTTGCACAAAAGCGCGTCTAGATTGGCCACGGACGCTTTTGCGGAAAAGTGCTTTTGCGGAAAAGTGTCCATGCCAATCTAGACGCTCTTTTCCGAAAATGCTTTTAATGGAAAACTTTTCCGTTAAAAGCATTTCCGGAAAATCATGCCAGTCTAGACGTAGCCAAGCTGTCCAGCACCATCTGCGATTTGGGGGGTGTGTCATGACCATGAGAGATGGCCAGTAGCTTGGGGATTAAGAGGTTAACTATGTCCCTGTACCTAGCCAGGTATCTGCTCAGCCAATAGAAATGCAGATAGGGATTTCAAACCGAGACAAAGGAATTTTTAATTTTCCCCTCCTTTGTCTCTGAGCCAGTTGACTCTCTGAGGGGGGACAGAGGACTTGTCTCTCTCCAAGAAAAGACTCTTCAGCATCTGTAAGTAGGGAAAAGTCTAGATAAATCCATCAGGTTTTATTGTTTTCTGGTTTGAGAATTTGGATCTAAGACCGTGGTCACCAACCGGTAGATCACGATCTACCAGTAGATCTCAGGGGCTCTAAGAGTAGCTCTTGAGCCCTCTCTGAACTGTGCGCTTGTGCAGTACATTTACATTAGATTTCCTTATTTGAGGAGCAGCTACTCTCCGAGCAACAACACAGGTGAGTAGTTGTGAGGAATGGTGGGAGCTGGGAGGTCGGGAGGGCTGAAACACCCCAGCCAGCTGACTGTGGCTTTCAGCTGAAAGAGGCTGCCCCGCACTCCAGCTGATCGGCGGCTTCTCCTCTGCACCTGCCCACGTGGAGCTTGGTGCACCCTGGCTGAGTGCCATGGCCAGCTGGCCGGGCAGCCGCTTTTCTTCGCTCCAGCCCGGCTGCCCTGCAGTCAGTCCGGAGGGAGCGCGGGGCAGAGGCTGGCCCCCCCGGGGGGCTGTGTCTAGCTCCAGCTGTGCTGGAGCGTGGTGCACCTTGGAGCGTGGTGCACCCTGGCTGAGCACCACTTCCAAATGTTGAAAAACCTTTTTAAAAAAGCAGCAGTATAAGGATTGGGGATAGCAAGTGATGGAGAGGAGAAGAATAGAGAGGGCAGGGCTTCAAGGAAGGGGCGGAGCTTCAAGGAAGGGGCAGGGCGGTAAATCTTGGCTTGGTCTGTCATTTAAAAAGTGATCTTGGGTGTGTAAAAAGGTTGGAGACCACTGATCTAAGATCTGTTCTGTTAGAAATGTTTTTTTCTCCCTTCTGTAACTAAGTCCTGAGCCCATGGGACTCCCCGATGAGTTTATTAATTTGTGACTCTTACCGTACAGTCACCTTAATCATGTTTGCAACTGTAATCTTGTTTTGGTAATAAAAGGTTATTTTCTTTTTCTAAGTAACCGGTATTGGTTCTTTTTTGTGTCCTAGAAGGTCTGTGTGTACAGTAATTCCTCATTTAACACGTGCCCGCTTAACACGTTTTCGAGATAGCACAATTTTTTTTTTAGGGAACATTTTTTGAATTACACAACCATCCCTGGTATAACACGATTTCCCCAGCCGGCCCACTGCTGGTGGCTGCGCGGGGCTTCCCCCGCCTCCCTGCAAAGCGGCGGAAGGTTCGCCGCTTGCCGCGCCGTTCCCCGACGACCCCCCGCTTGCCGGACGCAGTGCGGGTCCCAGCAGACCCGTCACAGGGGCATACACCCAACCCAATCCTCCTCCCCTCTCCTCCCCTTCCCTTCCTCAGAGCTAAACACCTCCCCTCCCTGCTGTAACCCAGTCCCCTTTCTCCCCCAACCTTATGTCCCGGTCCCAACAGACACCACCGCTTCAATGGGAAAATTGACCCCGCATAACACGTTTTCACATAACATAATCATTTTATGAAAATATCTATAGTGTTAAATGAGGAATTACTGTATATCTGTACCTGCCCGACAGAGGGGCAGCCACACAGACTGAAGGTTGTTTTTCTCTTTTCTCTTTTTCAAGCTCTTTTGGGAAGAGAGCTTGGGGTAACCCGGGGGTTGGTTTCAAGTATCCATCCCTGTTTGTGGGTTCAAAAGCACATGATGGTGGCAGCAGATTTTTATCCCCAAAATTTAGGTTTTTAGGATTTGGGGGAGAAGTTTTATACCAAAGCCTGGAGAGATAAAGTTTTGGGGTACTTTAGGGGGCCTCCACTTCTGCATTTATCCTGCCAAAGTGGGGAACAGCCTTGACACCATGTCACTTAGCCTACCAGTATCCCCTCAGTCTTATCTGGATTGAGCATCAGCCAGCTAGCTCTCATACTTGCCCCAATGTCCTACCCATGACAGCTGCTGCTATTTGAGTTTTCTTTATCTACAGAAACACAAGTTAGTCCTTTGTGAGGCTACTTTTAACAGAAAAATAGCCTTGAGGCCCAGAATACGTTCCCAGAATATGTTCTCTAAAGAAGGTCTGACAGATAAGAATGTCCTCCGACCCAGAGATAAACACCCCAAGGCTAGACAATTTATGTGGCTGGGGCATAGGAATATGGAGCTTTGTGTCCTTTATTACCCTGTGGGATGTATTTGCATTGAACAGTAAGTATATTTACATTGTCTGCCTCACCACAAACCAGACAACTCCTATTGTCGCTTAAGCACAACTACCAGACAAAATGTTTTTAAAGAGTATGATTTTGAGCATCACCACTGCTACTCAGAAACCTCCATATTCAAACCCTCGCTGCTCTTTGTGACGATGATGGTCCCAGTCAAAGCTGTCACAGTACTGAGCATGGGTACTGCCTGGCTATGCTTGCAAATTGTGCTGTGTTCAGCATCTGCTGCTCACACTTGTTATCAGTAACAGGTAATTCTTCTTCGAGTGATGTCCCCATGGGTGTTCCACTGTAGGTATCAGGCTTGTCCCGGCACTATAGATCAGAGACTTTTAACAGACGTAGTCAGCCGGACCAGCATATGCGGCCAGTGTCTCGTGACATTCTTCAGCTCCCGCCAGTTCCTCCCAACCGCCCTCGGTTGCAGACGGAGCTTTCTCTTTCTCTCCAACTTCGTCTAGTCAGAGAAGCATAGATAGTTATTAGTTAATTGTTGTTGTTAATATTAGCCAATTTATAGTTAATAGTTAGAGTTTATAGTTCATAGTTCAAAAAAGAAAAAACTTCTTTGTTCCATCAGCCTTTAGGACGCTGACCCAAAAAAGACCATCCCTCAAACAGACGATGCCAGGTTCTCTGGGTTTTAAAAAATATGACATTTGTTGTGAGTCCACACCAGCCTCAGATGGCCATTCGTCATGTGTCTGCTGTTTGAGCAAGGCTCATGCGCCTCAGAAATGCACCCATTGCTCAAGGATAACGGCGAGAGCCCAGTGAGATAGTGAAATGAGCCTTCAGATGATCCTGTTTGACTTGGCGTCCGTGGCTACAATAGACCCTGCTACTATACAGAAACGGAAAGCGTCCTCTCCAAGGGCAGCTCCTGCAAAACAGATGCAGGCTCCACCAGCACATTCTCTGCTGCCGATCCTGCTGAGCAGGGTGAGCACGGGAGATAAACCTGGAATGTCCGGTACCGCCTCTTTGCATACAAGACCTAAAAAGATGGCACCCTCGGTGCCAACTGCACGGGCACTGATGGCACCAAGATCAACATTGGCACCGATAGCCTCATCGTGTAAGACACCTGCACCAGTATCAACGCCGACTCCAGCAGCACCGCTGGCACCTGCTGCTGCAGAATCCGTGCCGCAATCCAATCCGGCACTGGAAAGGGCCGACGCTTTCTCGGCACCAAGAAAAGTGTCTGCAAAGAACAACATGCATCGGAGCCCGAGCCCTATTTCTGTCTCCCGAACGTTCTCTCCGACATCAGCACCTTCTTTACCGGCACTGAGGTCGCTGGTGCTGCGCATTCCCCATATGGAACCGGAGGAGTTTTCATAATCAGGAAGGTCTCCATCCCCGTACCCTGAGGCACTGCAGAGAGACTCTTGCTACCACGTGAGACCCCTCTCTCTCCACCCCCTCGTCGAGAGGATCTGGAATCCTTCCTCACTCCCCAATACTGTCACCACATGCTGCGTACTGGGGGAGCACAGGAGTGCATTTTCTTCTAGACGGTCCTCGCCTGGGTGCCCACATCATTAGCACATCTACCATCACGACCACACACCTCACTACTTGTCCTATTATCATCACCATCAGTCACATTCAAGGAGAGGGTCCCTGTGTTGCCATAGGTCACCCAGATACCCACTTGCCTCCATACCACCACCCTGCCACCACCACAAAGCCCACCACCTCAAGTGCATCACCTCAAGTGCATCACTCAGAACCCAAGCCACTACGTCGCTCCAAATGTTGACACTGAAGGTGGTCTTCTTGCTTGCTATAACATCTGCCCACAGAGTCAGTACTACTGTATATGACTTTCAACAGGGATATTGTGGTATTACGACCTCACCCAGACTTTATCCCCAAAGTCTGCTCTGAATTCCATATTAACAAGCCAATCATACTCCCTTCCTTTTACCTTAAGTCACACACTTCACCACAGGAGGCAATCCTCCACACTCTCAACATATGCAGGGCGCTCGCCTTCTACATTGATAGGTCCTGAGATTTTTGTAAAACAGACCGTTTGATAGTTTCTCTCACTGATCGATCCAAGGGCGAGACACTGTCATCCCAGCGTATCGCTAAACTCATAGTTTCGTGCATCACCACGTGCTACTCCATCCGCTATAGACCACTTCCATCACAACCAAAGGCTCACTCTACAAGAGCTGTGGCCACATCCATGGCCTTTCTACCGGGAGTTCCCCTTCACAACATTTGTCGGGCAGCCACACGTTCATAAAGCACTATGCAATCGTGCAGCATTTGGCTGCAGACTCCATGCTGACCTCAGCAGGACTTTCAACATCAAACAAACCTTGATTCCGGAGCCCACCATCCAGACATTTCTGAGTACTGCTACACAGTCACCTACAGTGAGCACCCAAGGGGACATCGCTTGAAGAAGAAGAGGAAGTTAGTCACCTTGGTGCAGTAACAACAGTTCTTCGAGATGTATGTCCCCGGGGATGCTCCACTACCCGCCCTCCTCTCTGCCCCGGAATCTCTGTTAGTAAATTTCTCGTTTCAGATACTCGAGCAGATGAGAGGAACTGGTGGGAGCTGGACCGCGCACATGAGGAAAAGGGTGTGAACGGCCCAAGATGCTGACTGTGCATGCGTGGTCCGGCTGACTACAGCTGTTAAAAGTCTCCGATCTGTGGTGCCAAGACAAGCACAACACTTGCAGTGGAGCACCCACAGGGACACACATCTCAAAGAACCATTGTTACTGCACCAAGGTGAGTATCTTCCTCTTTTTGTACATTCTGGAACAGGAGTTGTATGCAGTGTAGTGCAGCTTCTGCAACACAGAGCTCTTTTTCAGGTCTTAGAAAGGTGCACCCCACATCACAACAAAATGCAAAATGGAACAGATTATGTGCATGCATTGGAAGGGACCATTCAAGGCAGAGTGGCTCATTAATACCTCTGCAGTCATAGGACAAAAATAGGGGTCAGCAGGTTACAGATTGTTGTAAAAAGCCATAAATCAGTGTCTCTATTCAGCCATGATTTTTAGTGTATAGCAGAGTTATGAATTTAAGCTCCCAGGACAAAACACCGGAGAGCATGCTGTGGGGAACAATCAATTTTACAATAGCACCAGAGCAACGGGGTAACATTTTCAATAAGGGACAGGCGTTTAAAGGTAATTTAGGCCCCTAATGAAGCAGATAAGTGCCTTGTGGGATTTTGAAAAGCACTGATGTATCTAACGTCTTTCAATTTCAAAGACTTTCCAGTAAGACTCAGGCTCCTGAGCCTTTCAGTCATTTTTAAAAATGGGACTTAGGAACCGAAGTCATTTCAGATCTTGGGAAAAATTTCCCTCAGTTCTTTTCTCTAAATCCTTTGGTGTTTAATTGCCAAGTAAGGAGCCAACTAAGCCTGACCTGCATTTGGGAGCGGGGAGGAGGGACACTACTACACAAGCAGTGTTGCAAAGAAGTACTGCATCCATAACAGGACCAAGGACGCAGAGCAGAGCATACCCACTAGCTGCCCAGGCCCTCCCTCCAGTACCATCATCCATAGGCCTGTGGGTGCAGAAAGAGAACAGGCTCCTGCCCCCTCTGCTATTGCCCTGTTCCCCTCTGGGCTACTAAGTGCTTCCAGCACTAGCACCATACTCCCATTCTCAACAGGGGCAGGTTGGGAAATTATGGTTGCCTTGTGAGCAGAAGCACCAGTGAGGATGAGACTCCTTGTACCTTCTTCTTTGCCT